GAACATCCTAACAACGCCATAGCAAGCACGCAGCAATACACTTACTGTACAGTCATGCAGAATACCCTAACAACGCCATAGCAACCACACAAAACACCATAACAACCACATAGAAACACAGTTACTGTATAACTACCCAGAACATCCTAATAAGGCCATAGCAACCACCCAGCACACCCTGACAATGTCATAGCAACCACACAGAATACCCTAACAACGCCTTAGCAACTAGCCAGCACACCCTAACATTGCCATAGCAACCTCACAGAAAACCCTAACAATGCCATAGCAACCACCCAGCACACGCTAACATTGCCATAGCAACCTCACAGAACACCCTAACAATGCCATAGCAACCACCCAGAATACCCTACCAACCACATAGCAACACACTTACTGTATAATCACCCAGAACATCCCAACAATGCCATAGCAACCACCTAGAACACCCTACCACACGCAGCAAGACACTTACTGTATAGTCACGCAGAACACCCTAACAAAGCCATAGCAACCTCACAGAACACCATAACAACCACATAGCAACACACTTACTGTATAACAACCCAGAACACCCTAACAAGGCCATGGCAACCACACAGAACTCCCTAACAATGCTATAGCAAACACACAGAACACCCTACCAACCACACAGCAAAATACTTACTGTGTAACCAGCCAGAACACCCTAACAATGCAATAGCAACCACACAGAACACCATAACAACTACATAGCAACACACTTACTGTATAACTACCCAGAACACCCTAACAAGGCCATGGCAACCACACAGAACTCCCTAACAATGCTATAGCAAACACACAGAACACCCTACCAACCCCACAGCAAAATACTTACTGTGTAACCAGCCAGAACACCCTAACAATACCATAGCAACCACACAGATCACCATAAAAACCACATATCAACACACATAATGTATAACTACCCAGAACACCCTAACAAGGCCATAGCAACCACCCAGAACACCCTAACAAGGCCATAGCAACCACCCAGAACACCCTAACAATGCTATAGCAACCACACAGAACACCCTACCAACCACGCAGCAAGACACTTGCTGTATAACCACATCCTAACAATGCCATAGCAACCACCCAGAACACCCTAACGCCTTAGAAATCACACAGAATACCCTATCAACCTCATATGCCAGCCTGGCAGAAGACTCCAGCATCATGGTGGCATGATTTGCACCAGTCAGATTGTCCTCTGACATTTTACAGTTTCTCATGTTCATCTCTCCCAAGCTCAAAGCTTCATTAAGCAGAGAATACCATAAGACATCATGGCAACAGTCAAGAAGAGTTCAAGCTTTCCTTGTTATGACCACAAACAATCTATCTCAGCTAAGAATAAAGCAATCATTACAAATTATCACACCATTAGAGCTCAGATGTGTACAGAGGACAGTCACCGGTCACTTCAAAACTACCAAAGACAAAAATAGACCAAAAACTCAGGCGGACAAGATTGTGTAGCATTTATGCAGCCTGCAATTATGACAGTCCAAAAGAGCCACTGGATTCCGTGGAATAACAAAAGCATAATAAACAAGCTTTTGAAAAGGCGCCAATCTCCATAATGTAAGTAGAGCCCACCCTCACAACGCAGCAATCTCATTGGTTCCTCGACCGTCACGCTCAAACTCACAGCCAGACTCATAAGAATGGGTTCACTGTGCTGTCTAGCTGAAAACACGTCCAAAAATGTACACCAATACATCATAAATCTGCAAGTCACACACGCTGACATATGCAAATAATTATTCGTCCTGCACGTTATCAAGTGAAAAACAAAGCATAGGGAAAAAGAAACATGCACTTTTCCTGATAGCCATTTTACCAAATTACTAAAACCCATAAAAGTTGCATAACGAGCAACTACGCCAAGAGGTGGCTGTAGAAAATAGCCCTTGGCTCCTAAAGAAAAGGGTTGCCTTGAAAGGGCTTTTGTTTGCTGAGGGCGCCCGTGCCAAATTCCGCTCGCCGGGCTTATGAACCAGCTGTGTTGGGCAATACTCGAGAGGCTCTGTTGGGCATTTTCGCTTGAGGTAATTTTGTGATGCAAACAGGGAAGGGCGACTTGATTACGCTGACAGTGTGTATAAGATGAGCACACGTCAAAGTGCTGGGTGTGTGGGGAAATGCAGAGATGTTTCAGCTGCAATGGAGAGGTAGAATATAAGGGCTGATGCAGGAAGATGCATCCATTCAGAAACATTAGCTAAAATAACTCTGATGGGTTATCTAGCCACGATTAGCCTTGATTGCAGACGAGGTACTTGATAAGCACCCGGATCACCAGAGAGATAAATATAGGAAGTTTGAAAAGTTGTATAAACAAAGATTACTATCTAGACAAGACTTAAGGATTAGAAGAGTGCTGTAAATAGATAGTGACTATAGGTCTAAGCTCTAAAATGATTAAAAAAAAAGAGTACCATTAAAAGTGGTCTATATCATGGGTTTCGCAACCTTTTAGATGCCAAAGACTAATTTATAAAACAGTATTTCTTTGTTTATTTTATGTTGATATATATATATATATATATATATATATATATATAAAAAATATGTATAAATATTATTTGGAAAATATTTAGTTTTTTTATTAGTCTCTGTAGTCACTAAAGTACTGTACTATTAAATGTATTATTTGTTTTTATCTATTTTGTATTGATTTTATTTTAATCAAATTTGTATTTGTTTTAGTACATGTATTTATTTATTGTAATCTAATTTTTATTATTCATTTATTTATCTATTTATGATATACCTTTTATCATTTATATTTTATTTATTTCCATAGATGTAAGGTTTTATGTATGTATGTATGTATGTATGCATGTATGTGTCAGGATTCTGGACTGTCTGTGTTGTGTTTTTGCTCCCCATGTGCTCTGCTACCTAGTTTTCCCGTGTGTTTGATTGTTCATTGTTTCCAGGTGTGTCTCCTTATTAGTTTATCCTCCTCACCTGTCTGCCCCTCATTATCTGCCCCATTTAAGTCCTAGCCTGTGCCATTCTCCCTTGTCCGGTATTGAATGTTTGTCATGTGCTACATGTGTTCCTGTCAGCCCTGTGTATCCCGTGTTGGAAGAATTAAAGACTGTCTTTACTGTGAAATCTCCTGCGTCTCCTTGTTCCACGCTCCTCAGTGTAGTACATTCGTGACAGAATACCGGACCTACAACAGTCTAAATTGCGTGTTTCCCCTCTGTTTTATTTCTGTTTTTCGCTCCGTGTTTGTTTTTGTCCTCCCGTTGTTTCCCTAATGGATACTCTCGCCCGCCCTGAATACATCCTCCTCCTGCTGGAGCAGGGGGAAAGATCGCTCGAGGGTTATACCAGACTGTTTCTGGCGATTGCCCATCTCACCACCTACTCGACCTCGGCTCATAGCTCCCTCGACTCCACCGTCACCCGTCGATCCCCACCACCTGCTCCGCCGCCGTTGGTCGGCCCCCTGGAGTCGGCGGCCATTCCTCCTCCATGGCTCCTCCCTCCGTCGGCTCCACCGTGGGTCATCATAATGGCTGTGGCCTGGGTCCAGCTGGACTCCTCCTGCTCCAAGTCCCTCCTGTCTCCTCCCTCCATCATCTCCTCCCTGGACTCTGTCTGCCGGCCCCCTCCTGGATATCCGTCCTCCTCCTGAGCCTCCTCCCAAGTTCCCACCCATTCCTCCATCTGTTGTTTCTATGGTGCGAGGACGCACCTTCCGGGAGGAGGCGTAATGTCAGGATTCTGGACTGTCTGTGTTGTGGTTTTGCTCCCCATGTGCTCTGCTACCTAGTTTTCCCGTGTGTTTGATTGTTCATTGTTTCCAGGTGTGTCTCCTTATTAGTTTATCCTCACCTGTCTGCCCCTCGTTATCTGCCCCATTTAAGTCCTAGCCTGTGCCATTCTCCCTTGTCCGGTATTGAATGTTCGTCATGTGCTACATGTGTTCCTGTCAGCCCTGTGTATCCCGTGTTGGAAGGATTAAAGACTGTGTTTACTGTGAAATCTCCTGCGTCTCCTCGTTCCACGCTCCTCAGTGTAGTACAATCGCGACAGATGTATTTATTTGAATCCAATTGTCATTATACATTTATCTATTTCTGATCAATTTTGATTATTTTTAATTATTTGCTTTTATTTATTTATTATTATTATTTGTGACATTTACAACTATTTATTTTTTACTTTTATTAATTTTTTTTACACTTTTTTTTTTCTCAACTTTTCCATGGATGAAAAGATTTAGTGACCCAGAACTATTGTATGTCTTAAAAAGATTCAGAATATAATGCATATGTCACATAAAATGCTTCTGCAGTGCCTTTTTGTCATTTCGAAACTATATAGCTCCTAGTATCTCTGTTTTGTTTTTTGTCGTGTGGAAATGAGCAGTGGGGAAGATTCTTCAGAATTTCTCCTTTTTAATATATAATATTAACTAAGTAATTAAGTAAATATACTTGTCCTTCAGCTTGCAAAAATAACTTTAGGCCTGTTTACACCAAGGACAATAACTATAACGATAACTAAAACTATGAAGTTTTAATAATCATTCTAATTCTATGAGAATAGTCAATACCACAGCAGTAACAGTAACGGCACAGAGGAATGATATAATTTGAATCAATTTCAGAACATGTTTGTCCAAATGATGAACAAAAACATTGACAGCCAATCAAAATCAATCCACCCAAAGATTGAGCTTTTAAAGCGGTAGACGACAAAAGTCGTGCACACTCATAATAAACAAAATGCTATTGTTCATTGGTGAGGACGCTAATATAGCTATCATCATAGTCATCGCTATAGTTATCGTTCTTGGTGTGAACAGCCTTTACAGCACTTACAGACCTGGAACATTCCTTAAAAATGCTTCAAACACCGTAAAACTGTCATTGCCCTAAAATCTATTTGCTCCAACTGAAATTCAGAGCTCTGACGCATCTAAAACCGAATGATAGTGGTGTTTTACATACCGTCAAAGCTGCCGTGCTCTGTGCAATACTGCAGAAGTTTGCCATAGGTTTCGTTGGACGGGCGAAACACGAACACACCAGAGTTAAAACAATCAGGCCAGCCGGGGTCTGGAGCCGCAGACAGCTCCTCTCTTTCAAACAGCTCATCTATGTTTGATACCACCTACAGCCAACAGAAAAGTGTCAAACTTCTCACACAACACTGACCCAATTGTATTTAATTTTTATGTTTTTATGTATTTTCTTTTTTCTTTTTTTTTGTCGTATTATGTACAATTCATTAGTGCATGTAAGAAAAAAAAGTTATTTTACTAAGAAACACACTACTGTTAATGTTTTTTAAATTAATTATTCAGCAAGGATGCTGAGCTCCTCAAAAGTGACAGTAAAAACAGCTCTAATGTTACAAAAAAAATCTTATTTTAAATAAATGCTGTCTTTTTAACTTTCTATTTCTCAAAAATCCTGAAAATAAAATGTATCACAGTTTCCACAAAAATATTAAGCAACACATTTTTTTTTCCCAAAATTTATAATAATTCAGCTTTGCCATCACAGAATTCACAAGATACCGCCAATCCAAACTGTATGCTAATTGTCAATCATCTTTGACGATAGTGGTCCTGACAGAAATGACATTTTACGTTTTAATTGACATTTACATATTAATATAGAAATGTTATTTAAATTGTAATCATATTTCACAATATTACTGTTTTTACTCTATTTCTGATCAATGACAAGTCTCGGTTAGCCTAACGCAGTACACGTAGCAAGGTGTGTGTGTGTATATATATATATATATATATATATATACACAAACAAAGAAAAACAAGTAGAATAGAAAGCTAGAGTTTTTTTTTTTTTTTTTTTTTTAAAAAAAAAAAAAAAAAAAAAAAAAAAAAAAATAGCATTTTGAGTAGATGATGCCACAGATGCCTTCACTACTTTTTGCGAATTAAACAAGTTAAATATAACGCATAGGCGTACATTCACACAGAGTTAATGATGCACAATGTAATTCAAATGACATAACAAACCGCAATATAAATATTTCATGCATGTTTTGACAAGGCACAACTTGAGCTCTCTGCTAACCAGCTGGTTTGAAGTCATAATGCAAACTCACCAGTGTGTCTGCGTCCATAAACACACACTTGGAGTAGTGTGTGAGAGTCCAGCAGTGCAGCTTGGTGAAAGTGACACCCAGATCAGGTCTCTTCATCATGGCCAAGTGTGCCGTGTCCCCACTGTCCAGCACATCCACTAGCCTGACTTCATCGAAGATCTTATGAAGCACTGCCCTAAAGACATCCACAAACATCTCATTTTGTTTTCCACGGAAGTCAGAGAGTTCGCAGTACAATACTGGCTGAATTAAGCATGTTGTACCTTGCCTGATCGGACACATGTGGCCCAATGAGCACCACCAGCTTTTTTGAAGTCTTGTGGTTCCTAAGCGATTTTCCAAGCACCATAGCTCCTCTTGCATAGCTATCGTTTGTGGCCAAAGTGACAAATGCCTGTTCTGCTAAAGAAATGAAGATTGACATAACACTGACTGACAGATAAGGTCTAATAAATTTGATTTCACATTACCTTTCTAAGGCATAACATGATTTCCCCCCAAAACAAGACATAATGGAAGTCAATGATACACATTTCCCCTCATAATAATGTAAAAAGTGGTGAAACTTGCAAAGCTGAATGAATGAACTATTGAACAAATGAACAATTATAAGTTGTGCCTGTGCAAGTGATTATCATAGATCTGTTTTTCCTTCTGATTCTGAGAATCGGTTCTTTTGAACAATACGTTTGGAAGAATCTGTTCAAAAACTGATTCAGTGATTCTTAACGTGCCATCACCGCGTGCCATATTCTCTAAAATACTCCAATAAAGCCATATCATTATGTTTTTCTTCAAAAAAAAAGGTGTTTTTGTGGCAAATGTACGAGTTCAGTTTGTAGCCATAGCCTAATTCATTTAATAAAGCAGTTAGAACGCAAATATTATTTACATTTGCATTAAACACTACTTAAATGATCAAGTAGTGTCAAAAAATATTGGGATTATGAATCATCTTTAACTCGAGTAATCATGCCAGTATAAATCAGCATTACATAATTTACATCCATAATGCTACAGAAATATGAATATGAGCAATGCATTGAACATCCACATCCCTTAAAGCCTTTAGTTACATATGCACAAGTAAAATCGTATCGATTTGTGCAGTATGAGATGATCAGCCCCTACACTTCAACAGCTCTGTTTGATATAATTGAAAAGTGCATTGTCACATACCTGCCATGCTCGTTATTTGTCAAACCTACTTTGTAGCTCGGACTCCCAGAACAGCAGTGTTACTTCGATAAAAGAGACGTCCTGAGTTCATTTATACCAGCTCGGACCTTCTCCATAAATACTGCTGCCAGTCACGTGACCAGAAAGGGCTCTGCGGACACGGCCATGATTGGTTCGTGATCCTTGGGGGCGTGGCTTCATATATGTGACTGCACTTGGGTAGAAGATTTTCGGTTGTAATTTATATGAATTTAAAAGGGAAGGTGTGTACTTTCAATTTTTTTTTATATTGTTTCATAAATATATTGTATATATTTGTATAACTGTGTAAGTTATTTATACCTTTGTATATTACATATTAAATACATTCTATATTTTGATGTTCATGGCACATAATGCATTAACTCATGTTAACATACTGTTAAAGAAAAGTCCTGTGGCCAGTTGCATAAATTACGTTGACTAGTCTTAAACGTTAGTCATCAATTTTTCTTTTCGTTTCAAGACTGGTCATAGCCTTTTAAGTTCAGTTACATAAAATGGTATATTGGTCTAATTTGAATCTGAAAAGTAAGGCTGATTACCACTTGGTTAACTGCTAGTTTGTCAAACTTGTTCTGAAACTGTTAACTAAGTTAAAACTATGATTAGGACTGTTTGTCAGCTATACTAACTGAATAAGCAGAGCACATTTACAACAGTTTGACCTGATAGTGAGACAGATATTGAGACATCTCTAGAATAGAATAGAATAGAATAGAACAGAACAGAACAGAATAGAATAGAATAGATATATATAATAAAATACACAAAAAAATGGGGAAACAATAAACCGAACATCATACTATTTAAAATTGACCTAATTAAATATTCTCTGAAAGGTACTTTGACCTGATAGTGAGACAGATATTGAGACATCTCTAGAATAGAATAGAATAGAATAGAACAGAACAGAACAGAATAGAATAGAATAGAATAATAGATACGAACTGATTGGTGTCTGATAAAATTGTCTGCTAAATGACTAAATAAATAAATAAATAAATGCCACCTACTGGTCAGAGTTTAGTTGTACTTTCATTTTGATTCCTAAATAATTTATATTAAATAATTCTAGATATGTATTACTATAAATATGTAGAATTATATTTTTGTTCCCCTATGCCAATTCAGATATGCATATACATATATGCTGACTGTACATTACCCCTTTCATAAGTGATATATGGGGGCATTACAGCATTTATACCTTGTGTGTTTCTTGAAATCCCCACATGTTCTTGTTCTTGTTCTTATGTTTATGTGTATCTTTCTGATATGGTTAATAATAATAAAAAAGTGTCTTGAAAAGTTTGAAATGATAAACCACTTTTACATTTTATGTAATATATGTTAAGAAATATACCAGCAAAACTACACCAATGGGCAACACAGTGAAGATTTAAAAAATAGCTTACAGTCAAATAACAATGATGTAAATAAATAAAAATGTCAAAGTTTTGGTTAGGTATTATTATAAATGCAACAAAGCCAGTTAAAAAAGTTTTTTATAAAGGCAACTGTTGTTTCTGTAAAAGTGTCTTTCTTTCTTTCTTTCTTTCTTTCTTTCTTTCTTTCTAGTGGTTAGTGGAGTAGTGGTCATCAACCCATGATGGTTAAACCTATAGGGCCTCATGGTCTTGACATTGCTTAGGGCCCCCGAAATGGAAAACCCACCCCTGCACACAGGATTAGTTTTTAGGGTAATAATAATAATAATAATAACAATAATAATAATAATAATAATAATAATAATTAATAATAATAATAAACTTTATTTTGTATAGCACCTTTAAAAGTACCATCTCAAAGTGCTTTACATACACATAAAAATATGAAGTTAAAAGATACACACAAAAAGTTTGCAATAGTATTTCTAATGGCTATATTCAACTATTCTCGAGTGATATATATTTAATATGGAACATTTAATTTAAACATACAAAA